CGCTAAAGTTTCGTCGGAACGAATTTACGGAAAATCAATTAACGAACGAACAGTAGGATGTTTTCTATACCACTCACTCTATCACGTGCAGTGTTACCTATCTAAAATGTATTGTAGATCATGACATCGTATAGTGTTACACCAATGACAAATGTTTTTTTTTGTATTGCTTGTTGTGTAGATTATTTTCTATATCTTGTGTATTGTATGATTTAATATGTTAGGCCTTTTAATTTCTAATGCTTAACCAGTTATCGGCGTTTAAACCGGAACTTTTAGTGTTATTATACTGCATACATGAGAAGCGTTTCAGAGAATTTTTTTTATCTAACACATTATCTCTAACGTATATATGCCTAACATACAAGTTTATTTTTTGGGTATAAAACGTCCAATAATTTTATCAATCTAAAATACCTCTTTAGTACAAATGAATATTACTAAGAACTTTTGTGAAAATTCTGTTAATATTCTAGATAAGAAAATTTCCTACTATGATCATGTCTACAAACTGTCACTGGAAGAATAAGAACTTTAAAAATAAACGAAGAACTGACTCATTTATTCTTAAAAAGAAAAACCAGCCCCTCTCGGAAATAACACCAGTTAAAAAATTGTGACCGCTTCGAACAGCATTTTAACGATCCTTCTCTTTTTGATAAAGAAACTACCTTAGTTAGTTTCCTGTTTGACAAATAAGTGTTTTTTTCCCCCTTTCTCACGTGTGCTGTAAATTCTGTATTTCTACCCCTATTTTTACTTGATATTTATCATTTCCTTGTGATAATTTTCTACGTTTAATTCTTACCTTTTTATTTCTATCTATTTAGTATTACCTTGTTAATCGATCTTTACGTCGTCTTTTTTTCTTACTTTATTGATACTCAATATAGCATCATAAAAATTCATATTGATAGTTACGTTTGCCATAATTTAATGGCAGGAATTTAATATTATCAAATAGTTGAAACATAAATATGTATGAAACTAAAGATTTCTAACACAGTATATACTACAGGTAAAACAGAAATCTTTCTTTGCTACTTACCCTTTCTTACATATATATATATATATATTACAACATAGAACATTATTCAGAAATGTGGCTTTAGTAAGTAAATTTACTTTACTCAGTCAATACTTAAAATAATGGATCAAGATATGTGGCCAATTATGCTTCACATTTTCAACCGTAGATTTTTTTTATATAAAAGTGACAGTCAATCATACTGTTTCGTTAAGACTAAGAGGAGCGTAGAGGCTGCCGACTTGTAACCCTCCTTCTGGTTAATAGTTTAAAATTATTGAAGGCTATGCCTGAACAATTTGGACTTGTGACCTAGTCAGCCTGTGTATTGCATAAGAGTTCATTCAAGTTGAAAAATACCTTTATGTATTTGGTGACAATTGAAGAAAGTTTACACCCGTGGTGGGCAGAGCACAGATAGCCCATTGTGCAACTTTGTGCTTAATTACAAACAAACAAACTAGCAGTACAAGTCCACAGACATGGCACTGTGCCACTAGGGGGACATTTTAGTGTCATAAATTACTCTGTAGCTGTCAGCAGAGAGTCTGGAGATGCAGTTCTCAAAAATCTTAGATAATAAGAAATATGAAACTATTGATTTTTAGAGCATTATAGACTCTATAGTATAAAATTTGCCGTAATTTTATACTATTTATCCTCCAACTGATTAGCAAAAGTGACATTGTATCACTTAAATATTACTTTTATTGAATATCTGCCAAAAATAGAAAGGATGTTTTGTTGTTGTTGTTTTTTTTTGTTACCTGAAGCACAGAATTGCAAAGAAATTTATTATAAAAATAGAAAGGAGTTTTTTTTTTAACTGAAGTAGTTTACTTACAAAATAAACCAATTAAAAATACACACTTCTCATTGAAGCAAAAATTTTCTCAGGCATTTGTTGCGTGAAAAATCAGTTTGTTCTTATGATAAGTTTAATAATGTACAAGGTTTAAGTGCAGTTTACTTATTATCCAAGTGATTTCAACCATTAAAGTTTTCATAGACCATTAAAGTAAACAATAAAGTAATCTACACTGTGAACTGAGAAAAAAAACAGTTTGAACTTGGGTAAATCTAACGTTATATAATCAGTCGATAAGAATAAACTCTATATAAATTATAAGTAAATTAAAGAACCAATGGGATCTTAATCAGTTTTGTAGTTTTTTCACTTTAAATATCGAAACCTGGATTCTAGCATCGTAAGTCCGCAGACATACCACTGTGTCACTGGGGAGCTATACTGCTAGAAACCAGGTTTCGATACCTGTGGTGGGCAGAGCACAGATAGCTCTTTGTGTAGCTTTGTGATTAATAACAAACAACAACAGCCACTAAAATGAATGTCTAACAGAGCCAGAGGAAAAAAAAAAACAAGCATTCCTTATATCTTCTGCAACATCTCCTAAAGAGAAAACCTGACAATGATGAAATAATAGACATTTTACAAAGAACAGTGAAATATTAATCTCTCTCAAATTGATGGAAAACTTTTTATTATGTCTCTATGTTACGAGTAACTGTATAACTAATATCCAATAATTCTGTTGTGTCAATTATTAAGTTGTTAAGAATGTGACTAAAATAAAGCAGACAACAATTAATAAATGTTTCTAGAATTTTATACCAAAGTTTACATGAAAACACTATACAAAAAAAATCTAAGAAGCTGTCCCCCTTTGTTTAGAAAACTCAGGCTTCTTTTATTCAAGATCATAAAAATTGAGATGACCAAGTTTGTTGTTATTCACACTTTCCAGATCAGAACAAATGTGCAATCCTGATGATAATTACATTATACCCTAGTTATTGTAATTTACATTTTTTGAATTGAACATTTCAATGTTTTTTGAATGATTAATAAATTTATCAGATATTCTTTATTACTAAGAAATGATTCTTTTTTTTTCCACTACTTTATATGCAAACTGCTAAGAAATCCAAAGTTACCATTATAAAGTTTGAGATAAAGTTGGCCTTACTTAATACAATGACTTAGAACATGTATTTTCTAACAATGTCATATTATAGAACGTTTCTAAAATGTAATAAAATAGAAACTTGTATTTTTTTCTTTTGAGGGTACTGTTGGAATCTTGCACAGTTAAAATTTAGAAAACGCTTTTCTTTCGACAATACTAAGTGTTATATCAGGCACACACAAGATATATACAAATATATAAATACTGGTATTATACACTATATACATGGAAAAACTCTAACTTGAAAAAACAAATGAAAAATGTTCTAGTTTTCTTGTAGCAGTAAATACACACAAAACTTTTTGCAGTTTAACTTCATCAAAGTTGAATTGGCACCAAGGACCTGCATAGATTTGTTTCTTTAATAAATTCAGACTGAATTAATGAAGCTAAAAGCTGTATTTCTTCTTGCCGAACTTTTCATCATCACATTTAAGCTGATTCAGTTACTTTTATTCCTTATGTAAATGCAGAGTTTATAGCTAAGAAGTAAGCTCTTTCACTGTAGACAGAAGCTAAGCATAGCACCATTGCAACTGACTTGGATAATCATTTAAAGCCATGGTCCAGCTTCTTTTTCTATTACTGCTGAAGCATCATTACGTCCCATTACCCTGAACAGGTTCATAAGATCGGTTAATGCTGTTGGCTCTCTATGTCTTGCTTCCCACAGATCAAGTATGTGCTCAGTTGGGCTTGCTTTAGTTGCAAAATAATTTAAATACCTGTAAATTAACACAATTCAACAGGACTATAATTAGAAATTTCTTATAAATGTTAGAAATGAAAGATTGAATAAAAATGCTGACAAGATTTATAAAGTCTAAAACATTGATCAGTTAAAATAGTTATATCACAATATAATAAAACTTAAGGGTCAAAAGACAGAGGCATCACTAGGTACTGGCACATGGGGGGGGGGGGGCACCCCCTAATCCCTGTGTGTGGT